GATCAGAAGTGATCATCTTGACGAAGCCAAAGCCACGAGATTCACGGGTGTGAGGATCGCGCATAATTTGGCACTTCTCAACATCACCATACTTCTCGAAAAGACGAGAAACCTCTTCTTCGAGAAGACGTGGGTGAATACCAGTAACGAAAAGGTTAGAACCTGGGTTGACAGCACCATCATCTTGTGGCCCTGGTACGCGATCATTCTTAGGTCCGCTGCTGTTATCATTTGTCAGATTATATTGTTTGTGATTCGTAATTAAGTGGACTAACCGCTCATCGGCACGACCATTCCTGTCTGGGGAAGCAGATCGGCGAGGTCCTCCACGTGGGCTGTCATTGCGACGAGTTGGACGAGGAGATGCGCTGCGATCACGCTCGTAACGAGGAGCCTCATCTAAAAGTGAAGAAATAAATTAGCACACGGATACCAGATTATCAGGGCAAGTCTCGAAACATGCGAAAGAATAGAAATGAATACCTTCGTAACGAGTGCCGTTCTCGTTCTCATAATCCATAGTGGAAGTCATGATGATGATGTGTTGTTGTAGAACGAGAACACGAAATGGGTTGAAGAAAAAAAAGGGTTGGTTTGTTTTGTTGATTTGAAAGCTGGAGCTGTCGCAAACGAGTTTTTGAGCTTTGTAAATGCTCAAGACCTGTGGAGAAGAGAAAGAATAATATCAAGTAGTATTGCAGGAATGCAAATATTTGATACTATTGATGGGGAGTAATGGATTAATAAAGAAACAAGATGGGAAGAAGGTTGCTGTTGAAAGGAAGAGGCACGTTAAGGTCAGATCGTCAAGTAAAAGAAGTTGTCGCGAATTTAAAATTGGGCCTAGCGCTAACACCAACACTAACCGACAGCGGCTAAGCCAAACAACGCGGTGAAGCTGAAAACAAATAGTTGGGAAGTATCAGGTCAGGTATCAGGTTTTACTGGGCAGCCTGGTTATCAATCATCAATTATTAAGTACGGTTTTACAAGCAAGCAATAAGAGGCCATTTTCTTTGTTTGATACCATCAAGTATGACTGATAGGTCTAGGCCTGTATGCATAAGTATGAAGGAAGCAAATCGAACAAATTATACGGATGATTATAAGTTTTACGGTATGCTTGACATCATATATGTGTGCGTATGCCAATCATATCAATCTTTGCAATTGACAATCCTTCCTACCTATGAACTTTATCACTACCAGCCTGGTCAGGGTACTGTACGTAAAGCTGAACGGCTGAGTGATCAAGGAATGTGAATCAATGATAGCATCCTCTATTGCAATATATGAGTACCGGTACATCGATGGCATTCTTATTGGTACAATTCGTTAACCTCTTCATGAAATTTGTAGTTGTAAGGAAATGCATTTGCCTGCAGTGCTTTCTTTTCCCCACTTTCAACCAAACTCATATGTTAAGAATATCTAGAGACCTGACTACCAATGATACTACTCTAATCTACAGTTCCTCGTTATGCATCATCTCTTCGTCAGATACGTCTACCTTCTCATCTTCATTCAAGAAGTCTAATGCAGCAACAGCCTTCCCATCACATGCTCTTTCTAATGCTAAGAATGCAAAATGTCCACCAACAACTGGTCTAGCTTTAAACTCAATACCTGGGAACCCACCAGTTCCCTCAGTGTCATACAAATCCGTGAGTGGTTTATCTGGGATAATGTTAGATTTGGATCTGATTTGTTTACAGATATAAAATCACATACCTGTTGTAGTCTCATTGACCCATAATGCAATCGAGTCGACAATTTCTTCGCGAACCTTCTTGCTAGCAACTGAAACTGCAAAGAATTCCCAATCACTTTTGGTATAAAGATGGCGACTATCAAGCGGTAAACCGTACTTCTGTCGAACTGAGTGGTACCAATCACTCTGTAGTTTGTAAACCTTGTCACTTACAAATCCGGTATTTGAGATTTGTTGATCAGGAAGAGCAATAGGTTTTTGATCATTCCCGATGCTTGGAGTAGATGACGAGCTTGATGGGATGTGGAAACAAAGTAATGAATCTGCAAACAGATTGTATAGAATGGTCCATGATCCATACCAAGAATATGCTAATTTAGCATGAGTTCCATCTCTGGAAAAGGCAAATTCATCCTCCCATCGTTTGATGTAAGTTTCGGAAATATTGCGGTAGAAAACAGCATCTTCGGTTTCACCAACAACTTCAGCAATCTCGCTCATAGCCTTGATTCCTATGATACCTTTGAGTGCAAGGTTCGTTTGGTTGGCTAACCACCCCGCAAAGTCGTCGGTTGACAACTGATTGCTGGGAATAAGAGTTTCCCTGACCAAATAACCAGTCCATTGCTTCCATAGTTTATACGATTTCTTGACCCATCTTCTAGCTTGCTTTTCCCCCTTGGCCTCAATGGGACCCCCTACACTATCATCCATACCATCCGCATCGACGAAAAGTGGAAAAGCACTTTCAATGAATTGGGTAGTTTTGTGGTCACCTTGATTGGACCAGATGCTTGCTGGCTTAGTGTCGTATTTAAGTGAGTTGACCAATGCTAAACCCATGATGAGCATATTACCACATTCTTCAACGGGCATGTATTCATCTCTACCATCTGGATGACCTGTTGCATTAGGGAATGAAGAACCAAGATCATGCATGGCGTAATCATTAGGATATTGGCCACTGAGCATATGTTCGATCAAAGGCTCCAGCATATACGCCAACCATCTAGGATTGGTATACAAGAAGAATGGGAAAGCGGGGTAAATGACATCAATAGTGTTCATATTTCCATCAGAAGAGATCTCCTTGAAGAAAATAACAGGATCATCAGGAGTACCAGCGAAAGAAGCAGCACCCAATACTTGACGTGCACTGAGCGCGAGGATATCCTTGTAATCTTCAGATCCAGATTGTAGAGCATCAATTGCAAGTTGATCCGAATAGTTCCCTGCGAGATTGAAAGCTTTCTGAAAGTCGCTATAATGGTATTGAAGCAAGTCATCAGCTTCGGGATAATAAGAGGCCCACAATGGACGCATAGCTGTCAAGCCTCGAGCGGAAGCAAATTGAATGACTGGATTTTGGATGTGTGCAATAGTAAAGAGAGCACTGGCATATGTTTTTCCACTTTCAGCAGAAGTGGAGTTAGAAGTGGAATTGAGCTTGAATGAATATGAGAATGCGAAAACTGGTTCCTCATCCATAATTCCTCGGAAGTTGGTGTCAACAGTATTTTGTAACTTCCCGCTTCGCGAAAAGTTGGTTCGTAGTATACCAGATGTGCCAGCTTGATGATTGGCCTCAGCTGGGCCTATGAAGTGTAATTGTCCCCATTCTGAACGGTCGCCCCATTCAGTGAACAATTGTTCAACTACTCTCTTGGCCTTCCAGATCTTTAGTGGAGGGTTTTTGCTATCCTTTTCCGGTTCACTCTGACTGAATGACCAATCGATGGCGTTGGCCCTATTACCACTAACCCATAATCCATTTATATCCAAGTATACATCGAGATCGAAACCCCCAGTAACATGCACAGTTAAGTATGCGGCAGGTATTGATTGACGGAAAGTAGAAGTTGGCGTGATTGGAGATAGGAAGGATAAAACGACTTCGAGTGGTTCTTGAGATTTAGAAGGCGATGGAATATTATAAGTGAGGTTGGTAGTCGACGCATCAAAAGTAGCACCTAGAAATGCAGGATATGATACATTGAAGCTATGAATGAATTAGTCGTTGTTTGCAATCCAACATTGAATGTTAATTGCTTCAAAGCTCACCTATCTCCGGATTTACTTAATGAATCGTGAGGCCTACCCAACAATGGATAAACAGCATCGGCGCCGGGGACTGAGGCAAGTACAGAGAAACCAATCTATGTAGAATGTGACATTTAGTAACTGACCTTTAATGGCGGAAAGACATTATTCAATTCCATACCTCTTGGCCTGTCCAGAATATAGGCCAATGTTCCCACGGATTCTCTCGTGCATGTCCTAACCAAGCACTCAAATATGGATTTCGAACAATTAATGGTATCACTGGCGGGGTCAATGTAGAAGCTTGTGCGACCGTCGCTGCTATTGCAGATACAGCCTGAAGGTAATTTGTCCAACGCATGGTTGATATACTATGTTGCGTGCATATGTATGTATGTATGTATGTATGTATGTATGTACTCGTATCTTCAAAGTACCATCAAAAGACGCAACGGAGTAAAGTCGAGAAGGGATGAAGAATTCAAGTAATATATAAACATTCACAAACTATCCCGACTGCATATGATGAAGAATAGTATATAGTTGATGATGAAAAACGATGAGAGAGTATTGCTTACGGAGCTTTGTTCTTATGGAAAGACAATTATGAGACCAAGCTTATTACTCACTCTTTAATAACATAGGGAGAAGGAGCCTTGGTACACCATTCAGGTACGAAACAGCCGGCTCCATCTTTTGGTTGAACCTTTTCCCCTGTTCTAGTATGTTGTCATGAGACGGGAAATGCGGGGGCTAGCGTTGTTTGCATAACTCCATGTGATGTTATGAAAATTATGAAAAAATTATCCAAAAAGTTATGCTTAAGGTGGTTGGAGCTAATTTACCCTTCAACTACCACCAACACCATCAACACCATCAACACCGCCAACACCGCCAACATGTCTTGGAATCGATTCAGACGACAACCCTCAAAACCAAGAGGATGAATTGATAGTCAGGGACTTATCGACTATCAAGGACGTTGCTGCATCTTGTCTAACACATCCTTGAATCAAAAAACTATTTAGGCGGGTACAAAAATGGCATCCAAGTTGAAGTGCGAAAAGATCATCTGAGTCAATGCTTTCCTCAACTACCTACCTACTCATACGCGGCGAGGTAACAATCGAATCCAATGCTAATCTCGTGACGATCATTTTCGACTCATTTCTCTTGGTATTTCAAACAGCCATGGATAGCTTATTGCCGACTACTACTCAAGGTTACATTCTCCTATGGTGACAACCCCTCATCTTGAATCCCTACTTTTTCGTTCTCAGATGCCACTCCCTCATTCCCACCATCCATTTTTATCAATATCCAGCCTGTTTACAAACACCATCACCGAGAAAACTCATAGCTCAACACCACCATTATGTCGATGAAAGGTAAAGTAATCGCCATCACGGGAGGTGCTTCAGGAATCGGTCTTGCTACAGCCAAGCTTCTGAGTTTACGTGGCGCCATCGTCTGCATTGGTGATATATCCAACGAATCTCTCGAAACGGCCATGGAGGGTGGTTTTCTCTCACAAGTCAAGGGCTCGATAGTGGATGTGTCAAACCGTAAATCAGTCGAAGGCTGGATTGATGAGATTGTGAATGAATTTGGGAGACTTGATGGTGCTGCCAATTGTGCAGGGGTTATTGGTAAGCATCATGGTGTGAGGAAGATCCAGGATCTAGAGGATGAGGAATGGGACAAGATCATTGCGGTTAATTTGACCGGTATGATGTACTCTCTAAGGGCTGAGTTGTCAAAAATTGAAAATGGTGGAAGTATCGTCAATGTATCTTCCATTGCCGGAACGCACGGTTAGTCATTTTCCTCACGTCAAGATGTTCGATTTCGTGCTCATACAAAGTCCTCCAATGCAGGATTTGCGAAAATAGGACCTTATGTCGCCAGTAAACATGGAGTCATCGGTCTCACTCGTACTGCCGCAATGGAAGTCGGTGATAGGAATATACGAGTGAATGCTTTAGCTCCTGGTCCAATTGATACGCCCATGATGGGGCACGCTCGAGAGACTCATGTACAGGAGGGTGAATACGACTCTATCGTCTTGAGAAGACTCGGTACTGCAGAGGAAATGGCTTCAATCATTGCCTTCTTATTGAGTAGCGAAAGTTCATATGTTACTGGGGCAGTATATCACGGAGCTGGTGGAATGAGTGCTTAATTATCATCATGCATCGCCTACCACCTGCTGTCAAAAGAAGCAAAATGGAATACTATCATGGTCGAAGCTTTTGAGTTATATTCGAGGGCAAGGGATTTCATTTTCTACTTCAAAAATTCTATGGCGGCCAAATACCCTCACTGAATTTCTTTTAGCAGTGTTCGATATTTTATGAAACATGTCTCAAGATTGTACCACTCTATAACCTCATGGACATATGTGAAGCACTGCGGGAACGCAAACTCTGTGTTAATTATCATGATTCCTACATCACCAAGGACTGCGTTCAAAAGTTTAAGCCTTCCCTTCAACTATATCCCCGAAATCATATTTAAAGAAGCCCCCACGTTCCCCGCTGATCGTCATTAAGACATCGCGGCTGCGGTATCTAGCAATCTAGCAATCTAGTTTCCCATTCTTTTTGCCATCTTCTCGCATTGGTTTTATATCGTATCTTATTGTTAGTGGGAATGATTCTTGTCGTCGATTACCTTTTCCGCTGTCGTTATTGAAAGCCGCTCTTTCTTTTGGATGGTATTTGTGTTCTAGACCAGACTTGCTGGAGATTAAGTTGGAACCATTTGAATAGTGAGTCTCCAACTATATGTATATTCTACCGGTTATTCTCGAAACGAAGCAGACACCATTCTAGTTTCCGGAGACCACAGGAAGATTTGCTTATTGGAGTTTGAGAGCTGGAAAGAGGGTGTTTATAGAATGGGAAAGGTGTAGGATGTATGCGGAGTGGCTTTGAGATGACAGACGATTGTGCCATTTTTTCTTTTCTGGAACCGGTATTTCCTGGGACTTTTGCGCTCATAGGATGTGAAGAGTGAATGAACGTCTTGATCGAGTACCTATTGAAGGCTGTTGGATTCGCAAACTTTAGACGGAGTTTTACATAAATTACACCCTCTCCAATCTCTACTCAATCCATAACACTTTCAGAACGTGAAGTTTTTCACGAAATTCAAGGTGCACATGTGAAATGTCAGCATATCATTCGTGTTCGTTACAAAAGACTTCTTGATTTTACTAGAATGATATAGCTATGAAACTTCATAGTGTGGATTCTGGTGATGGTTTTCATTGCCGTGGGTTACTGTTGTCTTTTTTTTGGAGTATGATTGTTATACTAAATTTTCTATACAGTCACCATGTACTGCTACTAGTCACTTATCAAAATCACACTCAATTTCATTAAAACTTACAGAATATACTTTTAATTTTTAAACTATAAAATCAATAGTTTATATAAAAATATTACATAATTAGATTAAAAATTAAATGATTTATCTTTAATGATCTTCTTTATTAAAAAATAATAAGTTAAAACTAAAAGAAAAAAAATCTTTAAAATACTGAAATTTACCAACGAAATAAGCAAAGATTATAAACTTTCAAAAAATATATTTTTAAATAATATAATTCACAATTTAAGAAAATTCAAAGAAAATTAAAAATATGATTTTATTGAATGTTAATATTGAAATAATATATATTTCAAAATTCAAATAAAAACATTTAGTTAAAGTTATGGATTTTATATATAATAAAAGTGATAAAATGACGTTTTTAGATGTAATTTTGATAAGTGGCTAGTAGCAGTGCGTTAGTACTATAGTAAACAGAAACGAAATGTTAATGAGACTGAAAAGCGAGAGAGGGAATAAGATTAACAAATAATATTCTTACCATAAGAAACTTGTAGGGTATCAGCTCCGCTAGTTTCAGCAAGACAGACATGCGATACATCTATCTTGCCTGGGATAGCTTTGAAGATCATATGAGAGATAGAAGATGTTTCTGTAGCCCAAGCAAAGTTCTCCCTATGTAATTACAGCTTGAGATTAAAGAGGCTGGATTTGAAGGGTATGGGTATGGGTATGGGGTGTGACGGGGTGGAAGGTGGGGGTTGAATGATGTACTGCACCGCGTTTATTACCAAATCGGAGTGGATCTGACATCGTAACAAGAGAGCTGTGAGAGAACGGGTCTGTTTTTCTAGTACTTCAACTTGGAGACTTAGTAGGGGTCATAGAACGGTGGATCATCACTTCAAAATGGGACATGTGCTTCAATAACTGAGTATTCCCATCATCGTTTTTAATTTTCTAGAGCACATCTGAAGTTGCTCTATTCTGGGGGCTAGTTTGATTTTGAATTCTCAGAAAATCCCTTCCATCATTACCCGAGTACTTATCTTTGTTGTCGCTGGGCGTTTTCATCGTTTCATCTGGTACACTGATCTTTGATTCATCATACTCGTCAAATCCTAAATTCCCAACATCTCTTTGCGAGCCAGTAAACCTCAAAGCGCGCTTGTGCTCAGAATTTCCGGGATTTCCTTTTGTCTCGGATCTTGCTAATCACCATGGTTGTTTCTGGAGAAGAAGAATCATCTAAACACAGCATTTAATAAATATCCAGATATTTCGGCTCTGGATGTCTGATCGTGGCTGACTACCTAGATACACCGGGGCATTCTATGAGGTGGATTGACGGCCCCGGGAATATTCATTATTAAGCAAGTGCATTTAATTGGGAGATATGAGTTACTATGTCAGGAGTCTGTGTCGTAGTTTGATAGATCTGTAGTATTTAACGCCTCTTGGAGCTATTCTGGAGTGCTTGAGCATGAGAAAGCAGCTGGAGTATTAGCAGCATGGGCTCTGTCTGGCATAACCTATAGTTCTATTTAAGCTCGCTGTAAGATGGTGATTTTAGAGACTCCTGCGCTGGGTATCTTGTGCGATTAATTTATTCATGTTGTCGAATTTCATCATTATTGTCTAATTCGTCATTGTTGTCGTTGCCTATCAAAAGTGATCATTAAATGTCATTTGCAAATTCTTCCTCGCATTATTTCAAGCCCTCAATCCTCATCAAATTCAGATTGGTAGACTCCTCAGGAGAGATGAATACGATCTCCTAGAACAATTTTTCGCTTTGCCGCCGAATATTGAGAACATTAGGAAGTAGTCTAAGACTTGCTTAAATAAGTAAGTAGGTAAGAAAAGTATTGCTCGCTTGGTCAAGAGTTCGAATGCTGGATAATGAGGATTGATGGATTCTCATTGGGTGTGGGTCTTCGAGTAGTCACACTATGTAATCTTACCAATGATACAGATTCATGGGGTAGGAGATTTCCTCAGTGAGCCTCCCGAAGGACCTATATCACAGAGATTGATAATGAGTGAATACCAAACTCAAAGAAGAAGCGAGCCGATTATTTAAGGAATAGTTTACTGGTAACTTTTCTAAATCAAGAATACAGTAAACGACGAATTTGCTGAGCAGCATGGTACCGACTTGTTCTTGTTTTCTTGTCTCTAATACCTCTATGCATTGCAATTTCGAGAGCCGAATAACAATCGTACGTCGAGAACTTCTTTCGGCAGGGTTCGCGGTTGGGTGTGAGTGTTGTCACTGGCTGTTTTTGCTGTCTTTTTGTTACGTTCGATGTCGTTGAGATGACTTTTTGAGCTTATTATGCTTAGTATTTATGCGCATCGAGGGATACTTATGACGAGTTCATACATGACCTACTAAGTATGACCTTGATATACACAACGGCGAAATCATCTTGGACTCTTCAAATAGCCTGGTCAATTCTGGAAAGTTGGGTAAATAGAAGGTTTTAATTTCTAGCGAGATATTTATCAGGAATGGAGGCTCCATTGTGGGTCTTATGTGGAGGGAATTAAGTTTCTGACTGGACTATGCTTTGGTCAAGTGTTGTATCGACTACCTCACATACCTGAGAAACACATAAATTCAAGAATATACCCAAAAATAAAGGACTAACAACCCTACGCATCCTCCAAGATCTTCGCCGCACCCTTCTCCGCAACTCCATAAACAGTCCCCTGCAAATGCGCACCCACAATCATCGGAATTACACTAGCATCCACAACTCTCAACCCCTTCACCCCATAAACTCTCAATGCCTCATCTACCACTCCACCCAATTCTCTCGGCAACATCGATGCAGTACCCGAATGATGATGTTCACTCGCCACAGATTCCCTCACATATTCCTCGATCTCCGCTTGGGTCGTAACGCTCGAACCTGGATATGATTCTGTGAGATTGATCGCTTGGAGAGAGGAAGTGGTGCGCATGAGACGCGTGTAATTGAACGCTACGGTGAATTGTAGCAAATCTATTGGATTGGAAAGATAATTTGGATTTAGAAGAGGGAAATCGAAAGCAGATGTCGATGAAATGGAGACGCGGCCACGAGAGAAGGGAAGTTGGATGGCTGGAATGATGATGCCGTCGCTGACGATCATCTCCATGTGGGAGGTGTTTTTGGAGAGCAAGTTGGATGCGAGAATTTGATTTTGAAGTTTGTAGCCAGCGAGAACGGACAAAGGGGTAGATGGGAGTAGGTATTGTGATACATTTTTGGACTGGGAGAGAGATTGAAGGGTGGAGAGGGTGGATGGAGATGAACCATTCAGGATTGTTGCCAGAGGGAGGAAAGCAAAGACGTTTGCTGAGGCGGTTGTAAAGGGCCCTGTCAATGTCTTAGTATGGCTATATGCTTTGAGTTATAATGGAAAATGGTATCTCACCTTCCCTTTTCTCGCGATACAATTCAAGCTGCTCTTCGAGCCACGTAGCATTCGTACTAAGATTCCCAGTCTGAATCGCGATATTCGGAGCTTTACATGAACTCAAATTAGTAAAGCATTCAAAATCAAGTTAACCAAATTGACACAAATTAAAACAGCATACCATTGTTAACAGTAGTAAGCAATAAGTGATCCTGGTAATTCTCGCCAACACCTTCACTCTCGACTACGACCTCAATCCCTAAATTTTCCAACACATCGCGTCGTCCTATTCCAGAAATCTGTAGTAATTGTGGAGTTCGCTGTGCTCCGGCACTTAGAATCACCTCTTTCTTAGCATTCACCGTGAATTTCTCATCATTCACACCAGCTGCATATTCTACTCCCGTGGCTCTGGGTTCTTTTGATGTTTCGGATGAATAATTGGATGGAGTAGAGAAGAGAATTTTGGTAACAGTATTAGAAGTCAATACATATAAGTTAGGACGAATAGTCAAATTAGAGCTTGGGGGTAGGAAAGATTGAGATGTACTGCGTTCTTTGGTATCGGGAGTAATAGAAAGGATGATGAAGAACACGCCGGCATTGAGACCCGCGAGAGAGTCTTTTATATATGAGACGCCGAGTTCGAAGAAGGCGTTTAAGAAGTTCTCTGGGGGTTTTTAGATTGGATTCTTTGACTTCGGCAAGAATTGGTAAGATAGATTGTACAAGGAGAAACTTACTAGTACTAGGCCAAACGAAATTCGGATATCCATTCTGGACAAACCCGTTCTCCCCGTGGACGTTTGCATCATATTCAATGCCCCAATATTGCACTTCCTCTTCATCAGGAGGTGTGAAATGTTCGCTTTCCTTGAGGTAAGGAAGCATACCCTCCCAATTCCATCCAGGATTTCCAAGTTCTTCCCAATGGTCATATTCAGCTGCATTACCGCGCATGAATGCCAATCCATTTATAGCAGAAGAACCACCAATTACTTTCCCAGCCGGAAGATCAATCGATCGATTTCCGAGGTTCGATTGTGGAACTGAGGTTGTGTTCCAATCATAGATTGTGCCACGAGGACCGTTACCAAGTACGGGGAGATTGGCGGTGGTTATTAGAGGGACTGTTATGAAATCTTCATCTTTGTGACTGAGACAATGTGAGCATGGGTAAATGTCATGAGATTTTGAGGTTGTACAAATTTCCTGCTTCGATCACGAGAACGGTGGTGTCTAAATCAATGTTAACAAGAGTGAAATGACGATTTTTCTGAGGCACTAGACTTACTAGCATTTCTGGACAAACGGTTTGCAACGACAAGTCCACTTGTTCCTCCTCCTACTATCACATAATCGTAAATTGGTAGGAGATCTGCTGATCTTTCGAAAACCTTCCCGGAGAACACTGGGTGACATGCTACATCATGAAACATAGATAAAAAGAACACGAACGAGAATGAAAAATACATCTTGTCCGATGCGAAAAGCGTTAGTGATCAGAAAGAAAGTGATTGTTGGGTACCTCGTGCAACTCATATACAATTTGAATCTTTTGTCTTGATACTGTATCAAGTCTCCACCCGAACAAAGATCTGCATCATAAAGTGACTTTAACTATTGTTGTCTGGTCATTGGTTGAGATATGGTTATTCATCCCTGATTCGTCGCTGACTGCAGCAATCTAGATCATTAGTGTCGCTTAGGAGCGAGCTGAAAGATGCCGACAACCCCAGACACAGGCTTGGTGGGGCAATTTCGACAATCTTCAGCAATTCCGAGGTTCGTATGGTGGACCATTGAATACGGAAGAAATGATGATATTTTACAATTGAGGTTTTCGCTTGGGGATTTCTTAATTTCGTAACTAACACCAGAAACATCGACATATATGTATGTGCATAGAAGATACACAACGATGGAAGTTACAAGAACTAGAGATGACTGACTTCAAAATGATAGGCAGCTACTACTGATAGCATTAACGAATGGAACTCGGGCCTGAATTCTCCGAAATACTTGACCGAAGTCTAGGAAAGGAGAGGAGGAAAAAATGCAAAGAGCCTTCGGAACCCTTATTCTAGGGAACGAGAACAAAATGAAAAACGCCAGGTAACAGGAAACAAGAGAAAGAAACCCAGGCCCTGCCCGTATTGAAAGTTTCAAGTATTTTGACAAAAGCGCCTCTAGAACCATCGTCAATACTCAAATAAAGTGCTCGTCTAAAACAAATTCTGCAATGATTATCGCTTCCATTTTATCGGCCCAAGCAAATATAAGGTTAGAATCTTCGTCCTGACAGAAGCCAACATGACCACAAAACTTGCGACCCGTTATAGTTTTATGGTGACTATTTGGATCATGGTTGCGTCAGACCAGTTGCAAATTTCGTGTATGAGTGCGTAGAGAGAGGATCACTGGTCTGTGTACTGACGAGATCTGGTTGAAAAGCTCAAGTCGCGTTTCTCAAAGGATTTATCGCATTTATTACTGCCACCAGTAAAGAATTCGTATAGTCCCCCAATGAAGCTAAAACCTCGACGTGTTTTAAAAGATGCTTGGCTGGTTGCGTTTAGGTTGGTGATCTTTGGAATGCCATCACGGTTCTTTTGGTTAGGAGAGCTACCTCCATTAGAGAAATCATCTCCAGATACACAGAAAAAGTTTCCTGCCTGATTCTCCACACAATCGAGTGAGATGGCAAACTTTCCACTCTCATCTACGGAGTAATCTAAGCCATTGCATATGCATATGAGATCAATGCTAGTTGCAACTTCATCATCATTCTTGACACAAGTCAAGGTACCAGCTGCCACTTCCCTGATGGCAAGATTCTGTTGCATGGCTGCTCTTTCTGCGGGGATCGTTGTGATTGCTTCGAGAATGGTTCCACCTAGATTGAAATTGAAAGCAATTGACCAAGAAGACATCGCGAGAACAATCAACGGTGAGAGCGAAAGAAGTTTATACACTGTGGGGATAGTGTTTGCGTTTCCGTGGACGTTGGTAACAAGTAGTTAGTGATTGCGAGTATATGAATTCGATGGAGTCAAGTCGAGGGAATGAATTTGGTGGAATATGTAGATCAAATGTGAAGGATGAGTCTGTACACTTGTTTTTGTGGTTGTTTGAATTCTTGTGCTGGGACTATCTCAAGTATATGTGGGATTCAAACATAAAAAAGATGTGCCATAGCAAGATAGCATACCTAGTATTCCCAACCACAAAAAGAGACAACTGCGAAACAAAACGCAGAGTCTGTCAGCGGCGAGATGACCTTTAAATAATCTTAAATTCCAAAGCCACAAATTGTATATCGGTTCGAAATTAGTTGATGGAGGCATAAATTCATTTGAATTCTCAAATTATTGTAGCAAAAACATGTATGTTGTCAAAAATGGAACAATAGAATCACTCATGCAAAGCGGCACAGCATTGAGTTGGGTTTCACTGATTATGGGTTGGATGTCGTTTATCAAGACATGATGAATCGAATGATGTCATGCTTCTCGATGTTGACCTCATGGCTCGTAGAAGATAGTCAAAACCGCTAGGCAGTTAGTGCAGCTGTTGTCGATTCAAAAGTCGAATCTAGTGGTAGATGAAGAGCGAGTGGTCGCGAGAAGGTCAAGAAGGTTATCAAGAAGAAGAAGAAAGTAGCGCAAGCGGGAGCTGAATCGCTGATGGAAGATCTGGACATCTTGGTAGATTTACTTGAGCTTCTAATTGCAATTCTTCGAAACGTATACATCAACAGAATGCTCCCCATTGCGACTGTAAAAATCACGTTGGGGTTATTCATGTATAGCTTGTGATTTTACTCGTCAGTTCTTGCCAATAATAGCGTTGAACTCATTTTTATACTTCAAGAAGCCCTTGAATCAAATGAGACAATTTAAGGTGGTTAATTATAGCTTACAGTTGACCTTGAAAACTATTCTTGGATGGTAATTTTTGGTTGTGATATAAGGATTCGCTATTCAGCAATCTAGTAATCTTGTTACTATTGTGGTACCTAGAATATAAATTCAAATGCCGCTGTGATCGTCTATTTTAAGCACTATGGATAGAAACACAAATATATGGATTATATGCCACAGTGGCAGCAAAAGTCGAGATTTGCCTCTATTTTTCGAAAAGTTGGTGACAGCCGAACTAAAATAAACGTGCATCAAGACCTCTCATGACCCGCAGGCTATTTGCAACACCTAGCGCCTCCGAGTCCATATTGAAAAATATCTCAAAATTGACTGCAGAGTAACAACCATCATGTGTTCTTTGTCTCGCATGGCAAGGCCGTGATGTTGGTAGTCGTTAGGGCTGTTGTATTGACTCTACTGTGCGGCAAAGCTTTTGCCAAATGTTGGATTGAGTCGCAAAAACCGCCAGAACTTTCTTTTGGAAAGAGTGCCAAATATACTCAAAACAGTGTGATGTGATGATCGAATAGATAGCATGAGCATATCTGGGTTCTAGGAGATCGACTGGATCTTAGTAGCCCTGTTCGTGGAAGCAAGACTAGGCACTATCTCAAAGATGAATGAGAACACCAACAGGATTGATAACATCATCTCCATATCTATGACTATACGGGTTTTCCTCTTGTTTGGCACATTGGCTAGCCAAGTCAGACGTTGAGAATCTGCCACAGTGATATATGATCATTGTTCGCAATCCTGATGTCATTGCTGCATCGCTACATCTGGGGCAAGAAGTATGCCGCCTAGTGCGAGTTGATATCAAGGTGTGCAATAATCAATAATCCAAATTAACAATGAATTCGAATGGGTAGACCAAATTTTCAACGTTTAAAATTTGAAAGCATTGAAATTTTGCGCACATCAATGACGGTGATGGTGATATCACCGCCATCGGGGATTATTCTTATCGCCGCAACCCCGTCTTATCTGGGGAAACTCTGGACACCAGGTCAACATCCTTCAACATTCTTCAACATCTTCGCCCTTCAAATCCACAACCATGCGAAACTTACCTGCTCTAGTTCGCGAGAAATTTAAAGCAGCTCAAGCTGCTGGCGATATCTCCTATTTTCAGACTCAATTGGCTATTTTGCATTGCAATTCGCTGCCGGTAGGAGCTCAATCTGGTTGTCCCTCATTAGCTAGCTATACATACTAATGGTTATAGTTTCAATTACGATATTCCCCAGCGTTGGCAAATAAACCAAAGGCCGACAAGCTCAAAGATACCCCTCAGAAGCCATTCAATCCATTTCTAAAACCGTCCTCGTCGTTGCTTGTAACAGAGTTTGGGTCGTACAACCTCGTACTTAATAAATTTCCAGTCATACCGGATCATTTCATTCTTTCAACAAAGGAGTTCAAAGAACAGACACACTTGTTGGAGGAGGGGGATCTTGAGGCAGCATATAATTGTCTGGAATCATACCATGCGGAAGGGGAAGAATTGTTTGGGTTCTTCAATTCAGGCGAACACTCGGGAGCATCGCAACCCCATAGACACATCCAATTCCTTCCAGTCGAATCGATGAGAACGGGATTAGAGAAAGATTTGCAATGGTCTCCATTGGTCGACCGTCTCGTTAAAACAACCGCGCCAGGTTATAACTGTTCTGTATCCTTTTATATACATAGCTAATACCCATGCAGAGCTCCCATTCACATACTTCGCCGCGTCTTTCACCAGCAATGTTCAGCCGTCAGATTTGCATGCAACCTACTTGAAATTGCATCAGAAAGCTTGCCAGCTGATGAAAACTACACCTTGTAAAGATCGCAAGGAAGCGTCGCCTATCAGCTATAATTTGGGAATCACCAATAAATCTATGGTGTTATGTCCACGAACATCGGAAGGTCTTGAGATCATGGATACTGATGGCAAAATCGTCGGATCTGTTGCATTAAACGGCACTCTTCTAGCAGGTACACTATTAGTTAAAAGTGAGATTGAATGGGATGCTATTCGTAGGGACGAGGGAATACTCGTTAATGTTCTCAAGGCAATAGGAGTACCTCCGCACAATACAGTTGATTCCCAACACACAAATTTTGGTACTTTCGATAAACCATTAGACGGAAAGATATAAAATGGATTTGATAAAAGCTAAGATATCTGTTTATTAAACCATATTCATAACACAAAGCCAGCCTAGCAGTGCCCTTTTACTTGGACGCCCAATCAACTGACCCTCGATCGCTCGCTGGTATTTTGTTCGACGTCAAGTGGTTATTCAGACCTGCCGATTCACGAATGTGTTGTGTCTCTCACTCCTTGGGTAACCATTATATCCGATATTATATGATAGTGTCTTAGGGTTCGATGATTCTCCCTTTCAAATCCAGGTACAATCTCATACCTTCCTGTCTACCTTCTTGTCAACATTCTTAAGTGCCATCCACCGTTTTCGACAAGTGGCATAACCAAAATGATATGATCCTCCATTATCATAGATATACTGGGCGACTTTTTTCCACTGTGGCTCTGAACTCTTACTTGTGCTGCGCCCAAGCTTTTTCACGGCCTTGCTCAACAATTGTATCTAAAAACAAGTATTAGCCTCATTGTCATAGAGAACTGAAGAATCTACCCACGTCATTGTCCGTCCATTTCGGCTGTCTTACTCGATCTTTTTTATCTTTGGTTAAGGTTCGAAATCGACCCCTGAGTGTGGATTCTGCAGCGGTAAAATTTCCACTGGATCGAATTGCCTTGTATGACATACCCGCTTGTCTTGAGCGAATCAAAAAGTTGTTTTGCTCAAATCTAGTGAGGAGTGGCATGTTCCCGACAGTTGACGAAGATTTACCGTCAAGAAGATCATTTTTCGGCGTAAGCGGTACATTGGAATGCTTGATTTCAAAGTCATTTTTAATAACTCCATGGCTTCGAGTATTTCGAATTGCACTAATGGGAGTGCTAGCACTTTGGTGCCGATTTTCCTCTGGCCTGCTTGTGGCCGTTCCATGCTCATTAAACCTATTGGGGATTTTACCATCGTTTCTTGCCAGTCTCGAACTTGGGAGCATGTGTCGAGAGCGTGATTGAGGGGTGTGGTCTTCGGATAACCCTTCGGCTGCGGAAGGACTTGGGGTATAGTCCGAAGTACTTGTAAGAACAGTGGATTCTGGTGAAAATACCGAGGCTTGGCTCGATGCCCTGGTGGTGGTAGAGGCAGTGGAAGTAAAAGATGCACCAAGGTTCAACGCTCTGGGTTTGATCGTACTCGGAACGAAAGGAGCTGGTGGCCATTCACTCTCTGTTACCCACCCATCATTCCAAGTCCCCTCAACATTCTCTAGCTGATCATCTTGTGGTCGAGGAAGACCATCAGGAAAGTTCGGAATGCACGATGCTACCATGCCATTCGAATGATCATTGATTTTGTTCATAAAATTGCCATTCTCAATCGACCACCAATCACCCAATATGCCGTCGTGCGTAAAAGACCCTGACGCAAGAGACTCGTATGTACTGGACTTGTGGACATCATCATAGTCTATACTTGGAGTCATGTTGTCATTGCTGAAACGATCAGTGGTTGAAATATTGCCGGGGAAAGATCCGTGTCCTATCGATAATGGTGTCGAGGTCCTGCAATTTTGGAACGCTGTAAAACTACCCCGACCCTGGTCTATACTCATCTGGGTATAATCTACCCCATGTGTTGAATCTGGTCCATAAACTTGCGTCATGTTAGGTGCTGGATGTAAGGGAAGGGAATAAGAATGTGCTTTGGGAGAATGCAGTCGTGGATGTAATACCACGCACGTTGGCGTTCTTGGCGAATTGTTATTGCCTTCCTGGTTCCCAGAAAGTGGTGTCGTATCTTGACAGAGCTCGCCACTTTCATTTTGAAACTGCTCAAAGTCAGTTCATGATATGATAACAAGCACTTGTCAGTCCCGGTATACCTACCAGCGGAAAGTTTTTGTGGTCTCGAAAGCTTTCAAAATTCTGCTCCCAGCCCTTCGTAGGTGGTGGGTTGACGACACTGAAAGCGTTGCTATCCATCTCGAATAATGGTTCTGGCATTGAGGGGACTACACGATAATTTGTGAAAAAGAATCCGATACTGTTCGGCATGATTCGGGGATCCGTGTGGTATAACATTATTTTCATTCTTGACCGCTATCTTATTGCTAAGTACGTTTGCGACACATACATCAACAACGAGATGTACTTAAACAAGTCGAATTCACTCATTACTTCTGCATATGCTAGATATGCAGGAATGATGTAGACACACCTAAGAACAAGGCGGTCAAGCTACAAACTGGGTACTAGATTTTCTCCTTGCTATTTTGGCGAAGCGGCAAGAAACTTTTGGCAACCAATCAATATTTCTACCGGATAACGAGTGTTAATCCTTCCCCGCAAAGTTTGCAACCAGATACCAGAAGGGAAATCTGAAAGGAACACTTACATTAGACGTTGTTATATATGATCCCACCCACAAGACAAGTGTTAATCAACATATGCAAAACTCGTGAAAGCTAGGGACCCGAGCTTTATATTTCAAACTTCGGGAAATCATGACATTGATCACAATGGTCGGGCCGAGCGCGATTCCATTAGATCATCAACTTCCAGAGACTCCGAAGAAGGAAGCTCAGATCAGTGTCATGTCCTTGATCGCATTTTCTTTTACTTTTGTCGTAGCTCTCTTCTTTACACTTTCCAAAAAGCTTGAAACCCCTGCAAACATCTCATCATGCCCCGTAATTCAGATCACTCATTGCCTAATTCTATTGCTGTGGATGTCCGTAGTAGTACCCACATATGTTCACCCTTTCGTGGTAACGAAGGAACCGGGACGGATACCTGCATACTTCCTACCAAACTCAGCGGCACAAACCCTTAGTAGTTGACAGGATCTGAAATTGTCTGGCGTTTTGATCGTTACAATGATGAGAGAGAGCTAATAAAAAATTTGCCGCGCCTTACTGCTGTCGTCTATTGGTCCCGCCAATCCGCCACTAATACTACCCAAAACTGCCTTCGCACTGTTATCGTCTCGCAAGGGTGTCTAATCAGGAGGCATATATGGAATGACTTCGAAGGGTGAATATTGCGCGAAGACTAAAAACTGCCAATATGTCAGTCGGCATAAGCCGGCGGTTTGTTACACAAGGACTTTCAGTTCCACTTTTTAAAGTCTGCCTGCATAAGAACCTTTCCTGCTTTCCTGCCATGTTATGCAGGACCCTTTACACCAGGTACTTGCCTTTTGACAAGTCATTTCTGGCCAATATTTTCATTTCCCAGGGTTTCATGTGCTTTACAAGACGGTGGATGCCAGTCAAAAATCAGCAATCATTTACTTTAGCTAAAAAGAACTACAATGGAGCTGCATCGCACCGTTACTTTGCAAGGATTGGTGCAGACCCTTAGTTCTCCATTCACTGAGGGAATTATATCCATCATATCATCTATCGTAATCGCAAATGTAGGCTAGTTGCTTAAATTTGCCATCGGACTCGAAGCCACATTGCAATTTTCATTAAAGATATGTTTGGTTCAGAGAGTGGTCAATGGTCTCAGAATTGATTAGCTTCACGTGGCAAAAGGGCAAACATTCCACGTGCGGTAGCTTTTACAGACTGACCAGGATCCCTTGTGCGGATGTTCGCATACACCAAGCGCACCCCTTTCTACACGGTGGAAGTTGCATGATAACGTTGCAACATCATTTTTGGCGGATATTGTTACTGGAAAGTGCGGCTAACTTTTAATATTAATCGCTCATCTGTAAAAGTTGCTTGCGCCAGAAGATAACCATGCAAGATAATGACTTGGCAAGGATTGGCACATCTGTTGGCTGCCACTATGGCCTTGTAAGTTTTGTGTTGCCTGATCACTTGGTGACGCGTGCCTCAGTTTGGTCCCATCGACGATGATACCCATCAAACTTGTTTCCTCATCAGTGTCAACAACTGCCTGGTCAGAGTTGCAGAGACGACACGTTCGGCAGTTCCCATTTCAAGCGTCGATCTTGATTCCTGCAGATACTTCCAAGCACGATATTGATAAGACTAATACTTTCCAGCGCGTAGTTGCCTACCTTCTTATTTTTCTTTAGGTCATATGCATACGTTCCCCTGTTAGGTGCTCTAGCCAGGGGAAATCTGGAGATGACCCGGTACAACCTTAGGCAGATTAGAGGTTGAAAGTATATAGCCAAAATGACAAATCATGGAAAACTACTCGATTGCTTTTTCAACCTCAAACGGAACCAAGGACAAGGATCGACAAGAAAGACGGGGATAATATCATGGCTTTCTATAGCATGGGAAGACACTCTATACCTCTCACAGGGATGGGAATCCAAGTTTACCGGTACAACCACACTGAAAAGGCCATATTGAACTACACATCACATATCGTCTTGGGCAAATACCTTCCAAATGTGGCTTCGATGAGTAAGTTAGACACCCTCTACTGCAACGTCGGAAAATAGGAGAAATTCCGGGGAAAAAGTAGGGATGGAATAGCCGATAGATGGTTGTAAGAAACGTTTCGTAGCGTGGTTGACGGTAGGACAAGAGGGGATTGTGTGTAACACACTTTTCTCTTTCTGGCTATCTGGGTTGAGGCGTCGCAATGGAGTCTATTTCGTTGCTAGTTGAGTTTTTTTTAATCAGCTTGGAAAATCACTGTACATAGATAGGTGTCATCAGAGATTAATGGTGTTAGCTAGACAAATCTGTATAAAGTTGAAATATACTACTATGACCTGCGTACATTTTAGCGATAACCATAACCATAACCATATCCACATCCATCTATCAACCAAGTCAAGTCAAGCCAAATCAAATCCTCCTCTTTTCAACCTTTCCACCTTCCCGAGATACAAACCCCTATAATTTCTCAACCACGGCTTGGGGACCTTGGCATTTGGGAAGACCTTTACTCCCCTCCTACCCAATGGCCAGAAACCAAATCATCCTACATTCTCCAGCCATGCAGGAATATCATACGATTCCTTCCACATTCCCATTCCCATTCGAAACCGTGAATCATGAACAACTAACCGAAATCCACATCCCTCCCAAGTAACCTGATGATTAACTATGTATCTCCTCACCACATATCCATCGCGAGATAGATATCTTTCTCTTACTTTGAACTTCCTGCCTCGAACTCTTATTTCTTCTTTCTTGTTTCAGTGTTGTTCTTTTTGCTTTAGGTTTCGGCTTTTTTACTTGGTACTTGATACTTGGTGCTTGAATGGAAAGAGATGATTAGGTAGATGGGTAGATGGGTAGATGGATAGATAGCTAGATAAATAAATAGCGAAAATCACTCGTACGCAATGAGAAACGAGAGAGTAATTCAAACCTAATTATTCGAAACCTGAGCCGCGCACCTCTCCCCATCTAGTACAGTTTAGCTTCTACGCTTGCGTATATTTTCACTTGCTCCCGCCTGTACAATTTTCTATCATTGCCTGATTTGTCCCTTCACCTCAGATTTTATGTCATAATATTGTCATCTCTCATTTACCAAAGTGATTATGGTATAATTACTTTGATATCAACTCCTCGACTACCTAGATAGTCACACCCATAGCTACAGCCAGCCATAGCTATACCATATATTAGCTAATTACTACTACATATACCCCAAATTCCTCACATAAACTATCTTTTCATCCCAAGAACAATCTTCCCACCCTTAAATCCAATTCCCATCCCTCATACTCATACGGTTATCAAAACTTTCCGGTGAACTCTCACTTCCGTTCTTGTCCCTCATTTTCATAGCATTAACTTCATAATCGCCAGAGACATTTCCATCATCATAATCAACTCCAACGTTTTCTCTCCCGCTTCGTTCATTTAGATGATGATGATGATGATGTAAAGTTACCAATTTCACTGCACCACCATCTAAGCCCCTATCTACATCCCATGCATTGTCTTTCGTTTCCTGTTCCTGTTGGGGTAAGTCATCGTCGTCTTCAGTCATACTCAACTCCATCATTTCCGCCATTCTTTCCGAAGATAGTAATCTATTCTTCAAAATTTCTCTCTTTCCTGGTGTTGGACTCCACAGTCTTTCGATTATAGTCTTCTTGGTGGGAGAGGGAGTACGTCGCATCCACTCCGATTCTTTGACAGGGGATGGGGTGCGACGCATCCATTCTGACTCGGTAAGGGAAAGCGTGCCTGTATTGTCGTCGCTTGCCGTGCTCATATATGATTTAGCGGTGATGGAGTCTTTTCTTGGGGGGATTCTCAATGGCGAGATTTCATCTATTGAATGCCTCTGCTTATGTATTGTGACGTTGGGAAGGGAGAAAGAAGGTTGTATTGTTGATGATGAGATAATTCCTTGTCTTCTGGACTATTGGTTAAGATCGTTAGTACTGTGGTTCCATCTGAATTTGGACGAGGTAAGAGAAGGATGTGGTCATGGGGATTAGACAGGAGAACAATGAAATGGATAGAAAATAAATTGGAACCATACATCAGTTCTAGAAGGGGGCGGGGACAAAGCTGATAAGCCTTCAAAATTATATTCCTCATCAAATTCGTCTTCTTCACTATCATCCTTGTATTCAATAGATATCTCAGAAACATCCGAGTCAATAGACACTGCAATTGCAGTTCCAAATACTGGCTCGGGAGATGGCTGGTCTCTATCAATATAAGAAAGTAAAGAAGGAGTAACAGATGGTGCACGAGATGTTGCTGATGCACGGGAAGCCGCTGATGAAGTTCGACTTGGTATATCAGGTAGCGGCCTAGTATTGTACTCACTAGCCAACCATTCATGTGAAAATGCCGATCCAGCTCCATCAATGGATAGCGCTGAGAATTTTGAGATTGGCATAATCTTTCTCTCGATACCTTTCTCTCCAGATGATGATATATAAAAAGGATCGAGCTCCGCGGTAGAATCAGAAGAAACAATAAATGCATCTCTATGATCCTTCTTGACCGTTAATAACGGATCTAGTTGATTTGTGTCCAAGATTCGAGACATCCAAGGTTCTCTTTCATCGGGATCATAAGGACTGCTGCTAAGGTCGAACGGAGGGTAAGCAGCTCGGAGAGAGTCGTGTACTTGATCGCTAGTATAAACTTTGCCCAAGTATTTCGTTGGAGTATGTGGTGATTCAGTTAGTTGGTCCGGTTGTGGTATAATTTGACTTGAGGCCATTAGGTGCCTAGCCATAGCTGGGACCTGGGCTTCAAGAATTCTAGGATGGTTAGGAGGTATAAGATGCAACTTTTCAAGATGGTCCCAACTTCTATAGTGAAATTTGAATGTTACAAATGGATTATCCTTCGCATCCTTCAAATGCCAATCGTAATATCTCGCATCTTGAGGTCTCTCTACAAGGCCATGAGTGGGCATACTGAATGAGATTAGCCAAGTTCACTCGAGCGAGCAGACGATTACACGACATGAGCGTATAGAGTGCGTTGTAAAACCTACATAACACCATAATTTGACTGATCTTTGTATTGCGCAAGCTGCGGATTTCTTCTCTTGCGACCACGAGCGCGAAAGACCTTAATCTCGATCAAACCACCATCATCTGCAGCAGCACAGTCTTGGTTTTCCTGACTGAAGAAGAATGGTCTGTATTCTGTACCGGGGTTCTTGTAAGTTCTTTTACCTTCCTTGTAGTCCCATTCTGCGCCTGGCTCGAACAATGCTCTCATCACTTGCCCGCTTGGTCGATTCTTCGTATTTGTTCCCCAAGATGTAACGTGTCGGCCATTCATATATAATTTAAAGTAGAACCATGGACCTTGATCTGCGGCGCCGCCGACATTATAACGTATAAAAAATCGAGATCCTGTAGAAGTATCAGATGTGCGCGCGCATTGCCTTCTTCACCTTGGGAGGCTCTTACCTGATGCTGATGGTATATAAACGGAAATAATTGAGGACTGTCTACCAAGCAAACGATCGGCCTTGCTATCATTAGATTTAGTAGCTGGTGAGTGGCCATAGCCTTCGAAAACTTCTTTGCCCAACTTTGGTGATCGAAATGTGAATTGAGTACTTTCTGGATGCGGAAACTCGGGGTGCATCTTCAACTCCCACTGCGAAATTATGTGCAGCTTGATCCCTTTATGTGCCGGCATCTTGATAGATTTGCTAGAGATGGAATCTTGAGATTTGAAAATATTGAAGGTATTGAAATCGCACAGGAAGATTTTATTTCAGAATGCCATTTTTGATGCTCGGAATTGGTGTGAATGGAGAATGAAGAAATGAGTGAATGGGATGAACAAAATGACTGAATGAAAGTGTAAAAGGAAATGAAATTGTGAAAGGACGTATGATATCTTGAAGTAGAAGATACCGTATGAAGAAGTAGCGAACTTCACTTTACTGAGCGGACGAGAACCCATCCCGAACATCACTCCAAACACGTATATTTAGACTTCTCTTCAATTTTCAACACTTTAATCTTATTCGTTCTTTGTAAGGTGAGGTTTTCAAATGGCAACATATGGAATATTCATGTCTCCTGTATTACTGTCACTAACCTCCCAATTATCTCTAGTATTTGAGGTGGAATACAAAGGATATAGCGAACATCCTAAAGGAAAAGATTTTGAAATAGCCTTGCAAGAAGCTAAATTGCAAGTCTACCTCAAGCAAAGAACATATTTCCCTTCTCTCACTTATAAGAAACGGTCTTGAGTACCAAACTTTCGACCGGCTTCCGTCTGTAAGACTATCCTTGAGAGAAAGGGGCCAGCAAAGCCGGAAGAAGGATCGTTCTTTTCCCTCCGAGCTGGGTCATGAATCAGTAAGACCAGTTTTTTCGATAGAGATACTACGTTTCTTCGGAGTTTATAGCATCCCTCCCTAACTCCAATATTGACGGACACATCATCATCATCTGCCAATCTTTTATGTTTGAGGCTGGCCGTAGGGTACTTAAACGTAAGACGAGTAATATTGGGACGTGACTGAGATGGCCCCCAAAGGAAGCAGTAGGAGATTCGAAATCTTCACAACCAGGACGTACGAGGTCAGAGCATGATTCACTTACCAAGCCGGAAGTTACCCTGAATCCTTCGCCGAACTCTTAGAATGGACGTCAGTAGCCATTATAACATTTATCGCCCAAATAAGCAGTACCAAAGACACTTTTGCAATTACTGGCATTGATCATGATCGCTCCTAATGTACAACATCCCCCACATCCTGCCTGTAACTCTCACTTCATTCCCAGCACTTTCTTGGTATCTTCTTCCTTGTCCAGCAACCCCAGATTTCTTACTACTCCTGCTTTCGGCGCATCATCTCGGGGGTTTACTTGTTCAGCTTTGTGATATGCGGCTTGAATTGCCATTGTTCTCGCATGCTAATCATAGAAAATACCTGGTCAGTACAGAATTCTAGGGCTTGTTGTCGAACACCGCCAGTTCCGCGATGGATGAGTACCGACCTCCTTCTTGTGATGTAGGCACTCATAGTAATCCTCTAAGACCGGCGCGCACACCCTCTTTCCTGCATCACTCTCTGTAGAGGTGTTGACGACGTAACAAGCTAAGACTTCTTGCCAGAATGGAAAGCATCGGGAAGGACCTTGGGAGCAATTTGTTAGCCATTGAGTTCATTCCAAACACGGATCATCTGCCAGTTATCCCTAAGAATGATTTAACACGTACCCCCACTAAGACCGTAACCAGATGCCATCTTTTGCGTTGGATTGTGAAATTTGGAGGGGTTGAGGTTGTAAATGTGATGTTCAATTACAGCATTGAATTGACGCTAACCATACAGGGGTAGTATGCACGTGTGCCGCTTATATTAGGCTTGAAAGCCAGATAGTGGGAACTTTCTAGCTACTGCTGTCGTTCAAGAGCTTGGTTTATTATCTAACACATCGAAAATCCAATTCCTCACATTTGGGAATGCTCGACCAAAGGGTAGCAATGGCAAACCCAGATTTGGAACCTGCTTTGGTTCTATGGCTTGCTATAGAATTTGCAACAAAATCAGATTTACGACTTCTACGAACTCTTGTGTCGAGATATCGAAACATTCTACGAAATGACCTTGTGTTCCGCATACTTCTCACCCATCTACCAGAAAGTTTGGAGTCTTCCAAATATGTGCCATTTATACAGGATATATTATCAGGTAAAATCATAGATGACTCTGAAGATACCATTATTTTGGACTCAATCAAAGGCATTAACCCCGCAGAAGTCCACAAAAGGGTCAAGAAATTACATCTCCTTCCTCTACGATGGAAAGATGCGCCGTCTGATATTCTCGACGACCACCTCGTTATGTTTTTGATACAACGTGCGTTACGAATTGACGAAAATACCGGCTTACTCAGTGAAGTACCAACATTGTTGGCTCCTTTCTTATCGTATTCATTATATTTACGAACTTGGACAATTACCACCATTCTACCCCTCCTTCGTCTCAATTACGAATACCACTCTGGTACTCAACCAATACTCACCATACGCGAGTTTGAAGCTTTAGATGACGTTAAAGGAACAAAGTACTTGCTCTCAAAGACAGGGAAGGATTCAAGCATACCGGGCGAGGAAAATCAATCCGTAGGGCGAGATTTGCGTGGACTGACTGGCCCATGGCTTTATGGAGACAATCGATGGAAGCGAAGGAAAATTCAGGATAATTCTGCAGAGCAGTCGCAAGCAGCAGAATCGTTGGAAAAGGCAGGAATAATAAACCATAAATACACTGGATGGGAATTGGTATTTGCATGGGTTACTGCTGAAGCAGGTATATCTTGGACAACAGCCGTCAAGGCAATTGAACAATGGGATGGGCCAGGAGACGTAGACTTGGGCGGATTTGAGGATGGAACGGAATGGTTAGATGAAGAGGATCAACGCCATCTAGAACAACGATATGCCAAAGCTGCTCTTGCGATAGCTTACCTTATCCCCGAAAGCTCCATCGAAGCGTTGGAAGGTGTTCATCGAATTCTTTCCAGAATTCTTACATTACTTGATATGGATAAGATGCCTACATTGGAAGCAGCATCTGCTATATTGACTCCCATACCCACCTTTGAGGAAAGTTATTTGTATCGAAAGAATGCAAAACATCTTCGAAGTAATCATTTAGAAGAGAAGAATACCTTAACGAATCCAAATGAATCATCCATTAATTTGCTCAAAGCATTACTAGTTAGTGCATATCTTCTCACTAGAGGAGGAGAGGGGTGTACTGTTAAAAGAGCTGGAGAGCTCGCTTTACTTCAAGACGAGCGTGAGCAAATGATGGCATTTAGGGGATTCATCTCTTCGTTTGGTCATCGTTCTGGTTCTGACGATCGCTTTTGGGTCAAAATGAGGAATGAGTTGTTATGGTTACGAGATTGGGGAGCTGAAGAGTTTGAGGGCACCATCGATCCCAGTCATGGAAGGGGCGTTTTCGGTCGAATCCACAAAGAGTTCATTGAAGTAGAAGCCTTTAAACTGCTTCTTGTAAATGCTCGTATGTAACATATCTCCTTCTAACATGCCCCTTTGATTATTGACAATCTTTTCATTTAGGATATACTCTTGCTCGATCCATCTATGAAACTCCAGCGGAAAAGCCTATCCCAGAAGAGTATTTGCAACACGCCATCTTTACTGCAGCTGAGAATGCCTACGATAATGCCACAAATCCTAACAACTCAAGAGGTGGAGTTAAAAAATGTGATGAAATGTAAGTCTTCGTCACCTCTATATATTTGGACCACACGACCATTTTTGTTCTCACTTCAATCACCGTTCATGGAAGGGAAAATGAAGATCTTCCATGCACCTACGATTTCATACAGAATTTGCTAACTCATTTGCAAGTCTCAATGCATTTCCAGATACAGTACAGGGCCATTCACGAGCTCAAGAATTACGCAATCTCATACAAGTAACAGATGAATTAGGCCGTTACAGTTTGGTGTTGAAACAAGGACAGCCATTCAAACCAGTCAGCCTACGAGTCAATCCAGATCCTTTGTCAATCTTGAACAAAATACTTGAACAGAATGACAAAAGCTATACACAAATCAATGATTTCGTACGTATGGCTAGAGAAATTGCTAAGGCCGGCTTAACCATACCTATTCCAGATGGATATCCAACCACACCTGATTTGAAATTAAAGATTGCCGAAAAACGTGTTATCAGCATGTGTATTGATATGGCTCTTGCGGAAGACGATTTTGAAACAGCTTATTCTTACGTTGTCACTCGTCTCAAGGCTGTTGGTCGCCAAGCACATACCCGTATGCCAGAGCTTGAGCGAAGAAATACAGGATGTGTTGGTCAACGCCCACCTAGACCAATCGATGATTGGTCATGGCGTGCAGCTTTACAAGCTGGTAAATATCGTAAAAACTCACGAACTATACGAGCTACTCATCTCGGCAATACCAGTGGAAACCCAGAGATTAGGCATCTCCAACAGAGAATGGACTGCTTGGCTCAAGCTCTACGATTGGCGCCACGGGATACTTTGCAAGAGGTTCTAAACGCATATCGTAGATGTGAGGAAGAGCTTGAAACAATGATCAAGGAAGAGGCAGAACAAGAAGAAGCTTGGGATGACAAGGCCGATGATAAGAACATGCCAGGCGGTTATGCTGCTACACCTGCTAGAAAATATTCCAACGCCAGAACTCCTCGAAGAAACAAGAATGAAGAGGCACCTGTGTCATTTTTCGATCTTTCAAAAGAAAGTATCACTCGTGCTCAAACAGGATTATCAGCGCTATCGATGTTCAGAGGAAAGTCACAACGTGCGGAAACGATGGGTGAGAGCCATAAAATTCCCATGCAAGCAGAAGTTCCGGGACCTGCTCCAGGTCTTACTAGATCTTCAAGTGGACGAACATCATTAAGGAAGAGAGACCAACTTCGTAATGCCGCCGTTGGTACCTTGGCTGGTGGAATTGGATGGTTGATTAACGCGCCGCCTGTCAATAACAATGTTACATCATCTGAACACGGAAGTGTCCATTCGAGGAATTCTAGTGGATGTACTAGTAGAAATCACGAGGTTTCTGCCGTGGAAGGAAATAAGCAGGAAGATGAGGAAATTACTTGGGATGATGAGGATGCATGGTAAATAAAATGGGTGGTTCGATTCTTTGTAGATATGTATCATATTGGGACTTTGGGATTGTTTCATACCTACATATACACAGGCGCTATGGTTCATGAGGCCACGAAAAATCACCAAGAGCTGGATGGGATGGTCTGTTTGGAAAATGGGAGTATTATTTTCTAATTATTTCTAATTTGCTCTGTACTTTATTTCGCCGAGAGCAATTGATATATTCTTAACCAAACCCACTTATTACACATAATGTATATAGCTAGTGGTTGATATTATGATGTTGACTTAAACTTTGTGGTTCATTTGCGTGTAAGCTTGTCGGAATCATGTCCTTGTAATTCCCTGCGCCAAAGTTGACGCGGTCACTAATCTTGTGCCCGTCACCGTCCGCCCACTTGGATTGAAGACCAGTAGCAAGATTACCACATTCATCTTGCGCAAGGAAGTAGTCTTCTTGATAAGTACCTCTATTGATGGCCCAAAATTGACCAACCGGGGATGCGAAATAGACGGAGGACAGAACAGAATGCAGAAAATGGAATCCGCCTCAGGATTATACTGTCAACTTTTTCACATTGCATAACAACCTTCATATGGTGCGCGGAAAATTCATCGGGACGTATCTAGCTTTTTTGTAAATACCGTCTTCACGCATATTTGGCATTTAAAGAGAACACCATTGTTGGATGCAAAGCTTGGATTACTATTTTAAGAATGGTGTTATCTACGCGTAAGAATAATGACAGTATCTGCAGTACTATGAACATCCATTACCAATTCGGAACTTTGACATTGATTTCATCGTTCTCCATAGAGCACTGTTGACCACCACCGCCTACGCAACATATCCCCCATATTTTCCCAGATGGCTCCTCTTGCAAACTGAGCTTCTCCCACTCTCCTCGACATCTTTTTAGCATGTAATCTCTTGGACGGCCGTCACCGTGACCATGCAATCGGAGTTTCGATCGAGAATCTGCTGTGTCTCCATATAAGTTTCATTGAAAGGCAGGGTGCGAGGGGATAGTATGAACTTACTTGCTCAAAGCCATAACAAGCAAGGAATATCGAAACCCAAGAATAGTTTCATCGAGACATCTCGCCGAAGATCCAAGCTCCAATCAGCACATAAAAGCAAGTGACGAACAATCAATAAGCATCCACCAGACATCCAGCAAAGACCAGACACTAATCCGCTCCAACTCCCAAGTCTCAGCAACGGCGCTGAAACTTGAAAGTCCAAGAGAATTAGTATTTGCTCTTTGCTGAGAAGCCGACGGACGCTTACTAACTATTCGTCACCCGCTTTCATATGTTGGTTATTCGACCGATCTGCAATCTCGGGGAGATTGTTAAACTCAAGAACGAGTCGCTGTTTCGTAGCGCGATCTAACGCGGGAAGTCCTACCCCTTTGGCGATTTGGGCTCATCCTGGTCCACAGTGATGTTCGGTAGAATTTCAATGGACCAGGATGAGCCGTCTCCAGGGGACTTGGAGATTGTGGCGGAGTTGCCACAACGAGGTGGAGGTCTTAAAGTACCTAGGAACATCGCAGACCTTGGAGGGCGAGGGATCGTTACCCCTTTGGCGATTTGGGCTCGTCCTGGTCCACAGTGATATCCGGGTAGAATGTCAATGGACCAGGATCTCCAGGGGACATGCCACCCCGAGATGGATACCTGGAGGTATCTAGGAACATCGCAGACTTTGCACAGAGTAGAAGGTTTCTCAGCTGCCTCCGTCATAGCAAGAGGATTTGGTGCGGAATTTGCAGCCTGGTACGCAGAAGGTAATCTTGTCTGGATTTACTCATGACTCAAGACTCTCATGGACTCGCATGGTTTCGTGAACTCGAATTTTCGTCATTTCTGCAGATTCTCTGCTTCTGATAGCAAGGAGGCAAAACGCGAGACTTCTGAAGCGGGTGATGGCGGCGGAAGAATAGTGGGAAAGATATCCTCTTCATGATTAGAATGGTCGATGGCCGTTTCCATTGATGCTGCAGCACTGAGGTGCGATCGTGGACCAGCTACATTGACACTTGAAGGTTGATGAGGCCTCCAGTGAGCTCATCTGTCATGGTCGTGCTCATGCACTGTAAGAAATCTCGCTGAAGCTTGGTAGAATAAACTTCCATGATCAGAGGGCTGGAGAGGCCTTGATCGGACAGACTTGTCATATGGCTCTTTACCTCAGAAAGGGAGAGACAGCAGAAGAAATTGTCACTTCTTCCTGTGTACTCTGAAAAGGTTTTCGAAAGCAGTGTACCACGTTCCCATGAAATTGTTTGTCCTGTCAACCCTGTTAGTTCAAAAGCTTGTAGATGTTTGAGAGTAGTGCTTGCGAGTAAATACCTGGTCGTCCAAAAACCAAGAACAGATCGAAGGTATGATGGTAAACGGGCCGCAGTGGCTTGTGCACTAATCGATCTATCGTCACGACCATCTGGAAATATGGTAATGTGAGCCAGATAGGTTTGATCAACGTGAACGACGTAAACAGCAGCATGAATCGTGGGTGAATCTTCGGTCACACAAGGAACAGCAGATGTGCAAGACCGGAGAACAAAGCTTGATTCACTGATGCCGCCGGTAGATTGAGTTTGATGAAGAGATGTTGGAACCGAAGAAGAAACAGGTGTCTTCTCTTTGGTGTTTGCGTGCTGCAATGAGGAGGTGGGTATTGAAATCGAATGTTCTTAGACTTGAACTTGAAACGCGACGAGGAGCTGTGGCTCTGAGCAAAAGGTTAGCTCAAATTGAGAAGTTACCGCAATAGTATTATACTAAAGAAGAAGAGTGACTTACTTAATCTGAAAGCTATAAGAGAGACTTGATGATGCAATTCCCCAATGGAAAGCTGCAAGATCGGAGAACTTGAACTTCTGCTCACGTTTGAGTTTTGGATGGGTTTAGAATGGCAGGCCTGTTGAAGGTTTGTTAGTTGGAGGTGCTCATACAATGGGAACAAGCTGGCAGAGATAAAACAAATATGCTCACAGTAGACCACAACGCCCTTTGAAGTAAGACTTGCAGAACGAGGATCTATTGAGAAAGTTGGAAAGGTTGGAAAGATGGTGAGATAGTTTCCAAAGTAGAAATAGAAAAGAAGCAAAAGTAAAATCTATGTGTGCCGAAATCAAGACCCATGTCAAATTCGCAAGTCTTATTTCCCACAGTTAACCCGCTCAAGCCCTATTTTTGATTGGAGGTGACTCATTACCCTCCTACTGGCAAAGCCCTAATCTCATTAATGGTGTGATCAAAATTCTAACTAGTGCCAAAGAATTTTCATTGTCTCTTACCTCAACTTCAAAATCCATTTTTCAAACTTTCTCCAACAACTCTCTCCTATTTCGGAGAAACAACGGCATAACTTCGAAGCGAAAATCTCATGAAAGGTACTTCAATAATTGTTATTTTTGTATTGATCGATTGATGGCAATTGTTTTTAATTAATCAATCAAGACTCTTTCAGTTATTTTTCGTTGCTGATTTGTTTGTTGGAAATCAATAGATCGATATCAAAGTCTCTTGCCTTGCCAAGCTCATCGCACAAGAGTAGATTCTTTGGTGTAAGTCGCAATAAGAATCATTTCATATTTTGTAACCAAGTATACTTACTCATTCGAAATAGTCTGCATCGACAAGAAATCATACACATAGAATACCCAAAGATGGACCAAGACGATAATGGTCCTGAGTACGGTACTAGCGGGTATCATCACAATCAAAGATGGCGGATTCTCAGGGCCTACTGGTCCGTTCAAGGCCATCTAATTTTCTGGCGCACAAGGGTTTCGAGAGCCAAGGTATGTGTAAACCACTGGCAGAGCGGTCAAATCCTAAACTTTTGCTAACAAAAATAGAGCAAGTGGTTCCCTGAGATATCCCACCATGCGCGTGGCGTTCCGATTATTCTCGTTCTACCGAGTCGGTCACATCAATGAAACTCGATTTGAGTTTCGCCCCCCGAGGAAGAGGAATTTGTAAGAGATATAATTCTTCGTAAGTCATCACCGAGTCTTGCTTCCCACTCCCCCCCCCAATGTCAACAAACTTTCTTCACTGCAAATTCACGCACAATTACTAATCAAGAGAACAGCAGACTCCAATCATATGATAAAGCTTACATACAAGGGGTGGGCGCTCCTATCAAATACACAGGAAGATGTGGGCGCCCACCCTCTTGAAACTCACTCAAGTGTGGAGTCGGGACTCCAACTGACAAACTCAACTGGCTTCGGCCTTCAAAACTCACAAACAAGACTCCGCAAATCAAAACGGTGGAGAAATCAGCCAAAAACGTGTACAACTTCTGCTGAGTCGGACGCATCAACGAAACTCGATTTGTGTTTCTCCTCGTATCCCGAGGAGATTGTAAGAGATAGATATCCCTACTATTTCAAGAAGAAAAATGGCCGCATGGTCATGGCACGATGTGTCCTGGGATGCGTGGAAATAAGAATTTCAGCTTGCTAATTCTGGATCGTGGAATGGACATGTTGGAGAGGAGTTCTCTTTGTCTTTAGATGTGGTCTTGGTTATGATGAGGAATGATGGTTCCCCCACTTTGGTGAAGAACTTGTGTTAAGCATCCTGCAGACTTGATTTTGAGGTGATATGAATCAGTAGTGACTAGTTTGAATTCTAGCCCCAGGATATCTGATAGAAACCAAGGTTACCAATGTATACTACATGATTTCAAGACTAATGATACCCATCCCCCGTCTGACCACCCTTTCCTTGAAACCATCATCCCTTCCAATCTCATTTCTACCCCCCCACTCACCATCACCTCTCTACACCTTCCTCGCCGTAATAAAAAGATGCACTTCCTTATCACACTCTGCCTCTTCCACCGGTTCAAAAACCGCCTTCCCCTCCTTCACAATCTCAAATCCATTCTCCGCCAACACATCTTCCCATCCAAGTTGTGTATACAGAAAATTCGTATTAATCTCCCCCATGAATTTTCCTGGGATATTTTCCGCATAGCGCTAATTATCACAAAGATCCATCATCAGCATTGTCATCACCCCTAATCTCCAACCAAAGAAAGAAAGCAAGAAAAAAGAAACATATAGGTAAATACCTTATCATCCGAAAACATCCTCTCTTCAATCCTCACCGCATCCTCCGCGGCAATCGTCCCAATAAAAATATATCCCTCTCCGTTCCCCTTCACCCAATTCCTCCACTTCGCAATCGCATTTCCCATTTCCTCGCGCGAGAAATGAAACATGGAGAGAATGATAAACATGCCATCGAATTTCTCTCCCTCTTTCGGGGTATACTCTAACATGCTGACTAGTTCGAATGTTCCCCCGGGAACATTTTTGCGGGAGAGAGAGATCATGTTGGGGGAGATATCGATGCCGTGGAGTTTGCGGCCGGATTTTACAACGGCGAGAGAGGTGGGAATGCCGGTGCCAGAACCGACATCTAGGACCTGGGGGAGGGGGAGGTTAGTTGGAGATGGGGGTAGAGAGGAAATAAAAGACTCTGTGGGGTTTTCACGAGGGAGGTTAAGGTATTCGATTTCTCTGAGAAAGCGAACAAAAGTATGTCTCTCTCCTCGTTCCCAATTTCAATTCCGATTTCAATACCAAAGATCATGCGAAACAACTACACCCTCAACAAAAGAGCCATCCACATCTTCTTTCTTACCGCAGCATCCGAAGGCAGCAATTCCAAACTCTCTCTGATAAAATCTAACAACCCCTGATCTTGAGAATAATACTTATCATATTTCTCACTAATACTATCGTAAAACTTCGGTGCCACCTCTGCGCTGATGACATTCGGGGACGCCATTATGTATCTTTTCACAATAAACAAAAAACAAACACTTCGCAATCACAGATCGAGAAATCGTAGGAAGCAAAGTACCAATTACTTCTGATACCTACATGGTATACATGATGTGGAATCTGAAGCGCTTATAAGCATCGTTCAGAGAAAGAGGGATAAAAGAGTCATTTCACCGATTGGGAGAATAGAAAACATATGCAAGCAAGTGGCGAAAGATCATCAAGATATGCAACAAGATGATCATTTCGCTATCCATCATCTTTCATATACATGTCAACTTCCTCTTTCAGAAACCAATGCAGCTCCGCTTCACCAATCCAGACGTAGGAGCTTCCATGCGGGGTAGTATCGCAGTAGTGATGAATAAGGGTACATTGCATATACCCGAATAACCGATCCAATCATTCAGTAATCTCTCCTCTAATCCTCCTTCAAAACTTCATCCATCAATTTGATTCCTACATCATGTAAAGATCTGATTTCCCCTATCGATACAATTACCTCATTAAAAGATACTCCCACGACAACAAAATTAATTGGAAATAAGAATATCCAAATCTCGAAAGAAGCATAATCAATGAAGCAAGTGTCAAAAAGCAGAGGATCTCGAAGAATACTATCCAGGGGAATACATTGAGAAGAACAACAAGAAGAGGAAGAAGAAACAAACATAGCTCTCCTAAAAGCATCGAGGGTGAAGCATGTGGATTTGACACTCTAGCTGTTTGATTTTGAGACCTCGACATTACTCGTCCTACTTAATTCCCATCTTCTAGAACAACTCGTTGTAGAAAAGGGATTGAAAGGTCGGCAGCCCTGATACATAGCTCTCAAGTTATAACTTGAAAGATAATGTATTGATTCCTCAAGATCCCCAAAGCTAATCAGAAAGCCTTAGATCAGGAACAAAGGGTCTCCTTATCTAACACACCAAACTCGCAAACATCCATAGTTGTACTGGGTAATCCAGATACGTAGAATCCAAATCAACGTTTTGACTTTCCTTGCATGGAAGTCGAGTAGCCGCTTTCAAATCTTCTATACATATGAGTTTCGGACTTTGAATTTATAATCCAAGAATGATTCAGTGAGACTGTACTTACTCCAAACTATAGGAAATCTGGGCGATGTTCACGGATAGAGGTCTTTCACGCTTTCAAGCTGCATTGTGAAGGATTTGGAATATTGCAATTGATATTAACAATGGAAGTACTGGAAAAGTAAATTACCGAAGAAGTGACCTACTATCATTGGCCCACGCGTGCAAATGTAAGATTATTTACAGAGCTTCTTTTTCTCCTCTCTATCTCGCTCCATCTGCCTCTCCTCGCACTCCCCCATTCTCCCACTTCATTTCATCTCCCCTCTCGCTCATCCCCTTCATGATCATCCAAACTCCTACTGGCCTCCAACTGTCTTATTCTCTCCGATCGTCTCGGCTTCACATAAACCTCATACCCATCCCTCTGATCTTCCACTCTCCATCCCATCTCCTTATTCCCCAACTCTACACATGTATACGTAAAGTTTTCTCCCCACCTCTCCCTCCACCTCGTATTCAGAATCTTAATCTTCTGATCCCATCTAAAGCATCCCTCCTTAAGCTCCAATCTCGTTAAATTACTTAAGCGGGAAATCATCTCCGTAGTGCTTTTGAATAGACAGGGTTCTCCTAACATTAGAAACTTGAGTTTTTCCTCCATCTTAGCAATATCAAGACCCCGAGATAGTGGGGTTTGAAAATTCTTCAGCATCTGTAAACTCCCTTGAAACAGTTTGGCCGCGCGATCGGATTGTATGTATAGAATATCCTTCTCCCAATTAAAGTAGATCGGATTTCTCAAACAATATGCGAACTCAAGTCCATATTCCTTGCACGCAACTTCTCTCGCCATAATGTTAACATGTAAGAGTGCCGGTAAAGTAGTCTTCACGACGAGCTTTGCACTTTTGTATTTACCCCCGTATTTCTCTCCTGCGTACCATTCCCGAGTCCATTTATCAGGTTCATCGACGAGAATTTCGACGGCCTTGAGAGAGATGATTCGGCCTTCGGGAAGAGCTTCTTTGAAAATCATGTTTTGTAGTTCAGGAGCTAGCTTTGCGAATTGATGAAACGTTGCTTTGTGATTCATAGGACGTCGAGGTCGGATGTAGGTAGACATATCGGTGGATTTGATATTATTCTCGAGAAGATGTTGACATGGTTGGTTCATGATTTAGATGGAAGCGGGATACTCGCAGATGATGAGATCGATGAGCTGTTGTTTTAAAGATCGAGGAATCTATATTGCCCAGCAGACAAAGAAGACCTCGAGAGTATCTGTCAATAGAATGTTAGAAACAAAGTATTATAATGAGTCTTCCTAGTGCTTTTCCATCAAGTGGATAGAAAGGAATGGTAAAGACTAGAATGCAGTAACCCTTCGTAGTAAACTCCAAAACTTACCAAATGAAATGGCGGCGATCTTTCAAAAAGAATGCAGATCGATTTTGGGCCAACTTGTAAAGTTGAAGATGGTCCCATTTCAAAACTGATCTCCATTTGTAAGAAGAAAGGGTTGACGCGGTCGCGCCGTGATTTACTATCCTCAACGCGAATTTAAAAGCGCTCAGCCTTTCCCCTCTACTCTCAAATCACATGTACAGCCTTGTGTAGGGCTGAGAGCCCGTGAAAGTCATGGATCAATCTTGGAGAGGTCCTTGCTGGAAATGTGTGTAGGCGAGTTAACTTGGAAATAGTGAATATGTGATACCTAGGTGCCTAGCCTTGCGGTTTGCTCTTGCCCTTTGCTCTTGCCCTTCGCTCTTGCCCTTTGAGCCGATTTGTGCCTTACACTCTCAGCTGGAGCTCAATGGTGGCTCGATAAGATGAATATTCAATCTTCATGCCTTGGAGAATGTACGAGCAACTATTCTACAGCCAATGAGATGATAATGATTGAGAATACAGATATTCAATGTTCTTTTGCGAGCTTAATTTACCTAGTATATGTCCACAGTGCATACTACCATCGCCTTCTACTTTGCAGCGACCGCGAGAATGTCTGCAACCATCCTCAGATTCACAGGACACTCAATATCCAACTCTTGTGCTCTTCTTGCAATGTATCCATTGATATAATGTATTTCTGTTTCACTGCCCTTACTAATATCTTGAAGCATAGAACTTCTGTTTTGTGCAGTGGCCGAAGCAACATTCAAAATGGCGTTTCGCAAACTTTCTCTTGAGAACCTTTCTTTCAAACCCGGAATTCCTTGAAGTTCTGGAAGTGAACAGAAGACTTGACTTATTTCGGATATCAAACCGTCAAAGTCACTTCTCATACCTCCGACCATGGAAGATTCCACAATCATACCGTTTAAACAATCGTTCAAGGCAGTGAGAGGATTTATTACTGCGTTTACAGCCAATTTTTGTAATTGAAGGAGTTTGAATTCGTCCCAAGGAACTTCACTCGCGCCAAGAAGTTTAGAGTCAATGACTTGCTGCAAGAGATAGCTTCTATGAGAAGTCTTCTCAATATCGTCCCCTGGATTACCGATAATAACCGAACCTTGGCCAGCAAAGACCGCTGTGAAGTCGTCTGTTCTATAAACACCATGAGATGCTATACCAAATAGATAATTTGGTCTTTCTTTGGGATTTGGGAAGACTCTCTTGTTGACTTCTTCAACCACCCTCATACCGTTGTGTATGAAGATCATAGTCGACAGAGGGGTAAAACGATGCTTGATCATGGAAAGTGCGTCGGCCGTTTTGTGGGATTTTGTAGTGACTATTAGATTGGATATATACTTAGTATCTACGGGACTTGAAGGATCGTCTATGGATACAAGCTCTGCGTTGTAATGTCCCTCCCAATTCCAAACGCCATCATAATGAATCCCAATCTTGGATCCTTTGGCTTTTGCCGTTTCATATAGATTTGGGCGATGGAGTAACAACGTGAGAGGAGGGGGATTCGGTTTTGTAGCTAATGAGTGCGCAAAGAGCTTTCCCAGATTTCCAAGACCCAAGATGTGTATTGTGGAGTCCATTTCCGAGGAATTCGCATTTTTAGAATGATAATGCTGTAGATTGGGTTTCTGTCGAGAAAGTTGTATAGAGGGAGTCAATATAAAGCTGTGAGTTCTTTTGAAACCTGGAGATTTACAACGATTGAAATAGGAGGGGAACATCGCATCGCTCTCACCATCTGTCGTCACAGACATATCATGATGTTGTTGATCTATATGATGACTAATTTATTTGCGCAGTTGGTACTGGATGGTGACCATATTTCCTTAATGTTGATAAACTTTCAAGATTATGTATGCTTTCGCTACACCAATCAAATGGAAACGTGAGAAAGTAGTCTACGCAGTACATGACAGGTAAGCCGTGGCATTAATAAGAGTGAAACAGTGATCCAAGAGTAATGGCGAGAAAGTTGAAATTTTGTACTCTACAGAGTGAAGTTCGACCAGTCAACAGTGTGGCAATCAAGGAGAAAGAAAGCCCTTGACACGTGATCTTATCCACTCGCTATCTACGTCAGATTATTTTTAGCCTATCGTCTTGGAATGTGAAATTAAAGAGACCTGACTGGTGGACTGGGTGGAAACAATGATTATGGGGGTGTGTTTAACATACTCTCCACTTGTAGATGTACTGTACTGTGCAAGCCTTATTACTAGGAGGAAAGATTGAGTGAGGCCGCATGTAAAACAGATTGATTGATATATTCTTCTATAGTATCCAAAGTCACTAGATACTTCACAATGTAATCTCAATGCAATTATCTCTTCAATATAAAATGTATATTTTACTGATCAGAATAAAAGTCGGCGATTACGAGTGTGAACTTATTCCATGGTAAAAAGTTCAATCCTTATTCATAAACCCACACACCAAAATTACTAAGTTCCTCCCAAATCCAGATGGCACTAACTTAATCGATAATGAAAAAGCCTTGAAGTATTAGTGTAAGAAAAAACCCCACCAAAAGATTTCTCCCCACCATCATTACGATCATCCTGAAAAAAAGGTCAACCCAATAAAAAAAAGAAAGAAAGAAATCAAAGAATTTCTTCCTTCACCAATCGATTATTATCACGATAACTTCAAATAATTAATCAATATGGTTTCAGCATCAAAAGCCGCTCGTGATGCGAAGAGAGCCGCCGAAGGAAAGCCGGCAAAGAAGACTGTTGCTTCCAAATCAAAGGCTGGCTCCAAGGCTGCATCTGGTACCACAACACCTGGCGAATTAGCCGTCGACGCTGATGGAAATGTTCTCCCTGATGAGGAGCAACCTGCGACAAAGGATATGGATGAAGTCAAGAGATTAGCAGCACAAATGGATAAGCATGGTCTCTCTGATCGTGTTACAACTGGTGTTCTCAGCTCTCTCAAGCAAAGTCGTGACGTTAAGATTACCTCAGCATCGCTGGTTTTCCACGGTCGTGTCCTTTTGAACGATACAACCATGGAACTTACATACGGGCGTCGTTATGGTCTTTTGGGAGAGAACGGTTGCGGAAAGTCTACTCTTCTTAAAGCTATCGATATGCGCGAATACCCTGTCCCAGATCACGTCGATATCTACTTATTAAACGAGGGTGCTCCTCCTAGTGACTTGGGTGCCTTGGAGTGGGTCGTTAGAGAGGCCGAGAACGAGATGAAGAGACTCGATGATGAAGCTGAGCGTCTGTTGGAGGAAGAAGGACCAGAATCTCCAGTCCTTTTGGATCTCTACGAGGTAAGATTGTTGAAAGATAAGATATACTATGTACTGTTCTAACGGAAAATAGCGTATGGATACCATGGATCCATCTACTTTCTCGACTCGTGCATCCCTCATTTTGACTGGTCTCGGTTTCAACAAGGTCACTATCCACAAGAAGACCAAGGATATGTCCGGAGGATGGCGTATGCGTGTTGCTTTGGCTAAAGCTCTTTTCGTCAAGCCTTCCCTTCTCCTTCTCGATGACCCTACTGCACATTTGGATTTGGAAGCCTGCGTGTGGTTGGAAGAATACTTGAAGAAATGGGACCGAACTCTCATCCTTGTTTCTCACTCTATGGATTTCCTCAACGGCGTCTGCACCAACATGATCGATATGCGCTCAAGACAACTTATCTACTATGGTGGTAACTACGATTCTTACGCCAAGACTAGATACGAACAAGAAGTCAACCAAATGAAGGCCTACCAAAAGCAACAAGATGAAATTGTTCACATTAAGAAATTCATCGCTTCTGCTGGTACATATGCCAACTTGGTCAGACAAGCTAAATCTAGACAAAAGATTTTGGACAAGATGGAGGCCGATGGTTTCATTCAAAAGGTTGAGGAAGATCGTGTCTTCACTTTCAGATTCGCAGATGTTGAGAAGCTTCCACCACCAGTTCTGTCTTTCGATGATGTTACATTCTCATACTCTGGTGATTCCAAGGATGATCTCTACAGAAACCTCGACCTCGGTGTTGACATGGATTCCCGTACTGCTCTCGTCGGACCTAACGGTGTTGGTAAATCTACCCTTCTCCGTCTCATGACGGGAAAGCTTTCTCCTACTGGAGGAACTGTTTCTCGTCACACACATTTGAAGATGGGAGTTTACTCTCAACATTCTTCTGAACAATTGGATCTCACCAAGTCCGCATTGGACTTCGTCAGAGATAAGTATGCTTCCAAGAGTCAAGATTACCAATACTGGCGTCAACAACTCGGAAAGTATGGTCTCAGTGGTGAATCCCAAACCGCATTGATGGGTACTCTTTCCGAAGGACAAAAGTCCAGAATTGTTTTTGCTTTGTTGGCTATCGATGGACCAAACATGTTGTTGTTGGATGAACCTACCAACGGTTTGGATATTCCTACTATTGACAGTTTGGCTGATGCTATCAATGCTTTTACCGGTGGTGTTGTTGTTGTTTCTCACGATTTCAGGTACGCAATTTTGACACAGGTCGAATGGAACATATGCTAATAATATATAGATTACTCGATAAGATTGCTAAGGACATTATGGTTTGCGAGAACCAAACCATCAAGAGATGGGATGGTACTATCGCCGAGTACAAGAATCACTTGAGAAAGAAGATGGTTTCTGCAGGTGCCGTTTAAAGTGACTATATATGAACAAAATTCCGTACAATATTCAGTCCAAAAACAAAAGTTTGATTGATGCATCTACGGACGACTGACTACACATACGGGGTGGCATTCACCAAGGGATATCCCTCTCATGACCCGAAACTGAGGAGGCCGCGGAGGGATTAGGCGGTGCATGACTTGATGAAACACCGCTTTCTTTTGGTGGGATAGAATGCGAGTCTGTTTTAGATGGCGTTGATTCGGTGCAGAATTTACTGGAGAGAATGAAACATTATTACATCATTTTGTCGGTTTGATGGTGAAAAGAGTGACGTGAATGTTTTGTGATTGTAATTTTAATATGAGTGAGTGGTAGGGCTGAGATGTATGGCCCAGGTAGGTCCCTACGCAATCTCTCGTATTCATTACTGGACGATAGACGGATCAAAAGATCAGAGGAAAGTAAAGGAAAAGATTGAGGAATTGATCAGCACTTTAGAGTTGGACAGATTGCCAGCTGTTCACACGGGTCCATGTCGGAGGATGATAGCTCTTTACAACTGTGGCAAATTCGTAGTGTATCTATTTTTTGATGATATCTGTATGCGATTGTTTGTGTGGGTTAGATGATAGCCCTCCCCTTGATCCTTGATTATTCCCCCGAGGGTATATTTGGACCCCAAGTGTCTACGATGATTAAATGATAATAATTGCCAAAGTTGTAAATGAAAGAATGAATGAATGAAAGAAAGAAGAGAGAAAGAAAGAAAGAAAGAAAGAAAGAAAGAGAGAAAGAAAGTGTTACGTTGAATTTACTCTGTCAGGCGCCGGCTCCGAAGTAGGAAAATCGAATAGATGTAGATGTTTTGTGGAAATTGTTCTGGATGTGGTTAGAGAGGTGTGTGTGTGTGTGTGTGTGTGTTCGGTTAATGGGTTAGATGGGGAATGTGTTGGTGGCGTTGAGGTTGATGGGGATGGGGATGGGGATGGGGATGAGATGGTGGGTGTGGGGCTTGGGGATGGATGGGCTGAGGCTGGATGTGTTGAAGAGGGAGAGAGAGAGAGAGAGAGAGAAGAGAGAGAGAGAGAGAGAGAGAGAGAGAGAGAGAGAGAGGAGAGAGGGAGATGGGTGGAGGGAAAAAGGGAAGATTACGGGATGGGGAGTAGGTATGGGGAGTAGGTATGGTGGGGAGTGAGAGTGAGAGTGAGAGTGAGAATGAGAGTGAGAGTGAAGAAAGAGATTAATAAGAGGAAAGAAAGAAGAGAAAGGTAGTGAAGATAGATCTCTTTGTATGGGAAAGTTCTTTTCTCCTTCTCTTTCTTTACGAGTATGCCTGAGGAATGAATTACATACCTACCTACCTACCTACCTAGTACATCCATGAGACCAAAGCTCCAATTTGACCTGGTACTCGAGTATCCATGCAGGGGTGATTTCTTATTCTAGACCCATTCATTAGCCAATCATATATGAGTTACAATGCAATGTCACAATGTCATGACGTGAAAAAAGAGCAGCTTTCAAACCCACACCTTTCTTTCTATTCACTCCCACCAAACTTCACTCCAAAGCGTGTTGGGGAAAGTAATAAGGAACGCTTCACTCCACATTATACTTTGTGACCCCCAAGAAAATGAGAAAAATATGTATTCCAAGGTTATCCTTGACTTGAATTTGAAGAATAAATATAAGTTATCATAAGTTTGTTCGATTTTTGAGCGGTTCTTTCCATGATATTTAGATATTTCTCAGGTACTGGTGATCCCAAGTATATCTTCTAATTTTGGGCATATCACTATACTATCATACCTAGGTCGGGAGTAGGTAACACTTCCAAGGAAAATCCATCACATCATAGAGAAAACATGGAAGGTCGTGATAAGTTGCTTCTTCTCTAATTATCATTTGATCAATCGATCAATCTAACCAACAATCCAATTCTCGGAACTCTCCTTAAACCTCTCTCACAACTTACCTACTTTACTTAACGTAACTTAATTAATCATCTTCTCTTCCATACCTTTTGCTCTCGCGCGTTTTGGCCTGGCTGGCTGCAGAATTGTATGGTGATCTTTCAAACTCAAACTCAAATCGATTCGAATCCAACTCCTCTTCTCTCTCCTCTCCCAACATACATATTATTAAGAGAACAACTTGACAATTCGACGACGCGAAAACGGCAAATCGATGTCAAAAATACTTTCAATCTTTTGTATTGTATCAATATACCTACCGACCGACCGACAGACCGACGACCTGCCTAGGTACCTACGATTGTTATCACTTCCACATCCCTAGGGATTGCTTGCCAATTATCAATCACTTCTTTCCTTCCTTCCTTAATCAATTCACTCAGAACTTTGATTATCCGCTGTATTCGACCTCTTCATTGTATACCCACCTACTTAGATACATCGCGATTCATTGGAATGAAATTTCTCTTCTTGGATGTGTTATAAGTGATTGATGATTGTGATAAGAGAGAAGTTTTTAATTTCGTTGTATCAATAACCCATCAAGAAAAAGAAAATACTTCAAGTCGTCTGGTACCAATTCAAGTTTCAAATCCCAAGAAATCCGAATCTCCTCCTCAGTATTCTCGTTGTCGCGTCGCAGATCTTCCGGAATTTGATCAATGGAGCGCTAAAGCGATAAAAAAGATAAACTTAATACCTGGTTTTATATATGGGAGTGGAAGGGGTGCCAAATTCAAATATGGACTCGAGTTTTCATGCTACAGTGATGCGACGGGCGGAAGATGATCAAGAAGAGGCTGTATCTTCTTCAATGAGGCGCGATGGAATAATGAATGGACCAAGCACAACCAGCGCCAGCGCCTCAAACGTAATTCACGACGTTGCTTCACCGAGACAACAATCACAAACTGAAATTCGTTCAATTCTTAATCCATCAACCTTCTTACCCGGCGCACCTCCACCATTCAATCAATATCATCAACCACCTGCCGCACCTCAACTTATACAACCAGCACACATTCCTCTTCCGACAACTTCCACTTCAGCCTTGGGCTTAAGCACCCCTTTGTATCAAAAAGATAGAGATTCTACTTATCAACGCGATCCAAAACCTCCCAGCAATTACTACGACCCGACTTCCGACTCGAGTGAAAGAAGACCTACGGCTACGGAATCGATATGGAGCGATAGGGAAGCTAAGACATCACAAGTAAGATATTTCCCACACACCCACGAAAAGGATGGTCAATCTCCTAACATCTTACTACAAAAGAATCGTGAATCTTATCCCTACAACCAAAATCAACCACCCGAATCATCCGCGAATGGTTCACTAAATCAACATAACGCCGTCTATAAATCTCCCGTGAATTCTCATTTTCCACCCCGATCACCCATCTCACACGCGCACCCGCAAGGTCGCGTACCTCCTCCAGTCACACAATCGCCACGATTGACCACGATGAAATCACCCGTGAGTCGGCATAATGGGACAAGCGGAGGGCCAGTACAGCATGACAGGCCAGTCATTAAACAAGAACCGGTACCAGCCAGTGTAAGTCAAAACTATGTTCACCTTCTACTTTCATCAACATCATCTAATTTATTGCCTTTTCAGACTCCAAGCAGACCAGCAGACCCAATGTCCTTCTCGAGTATATTATCTAGCGCTGCTCCTGAACCAACGCCAACACCCAAACCCCAACCAACTCCCACACCCGTCGTATCAAAGCCTCGCAAACCTTCACGACAAGCAATGCCTACCTTGAAGCCGGAACCCTCGCCAGCCCCTAGTTCTCGACAATCTTCCATCGCCCCAGCTCCTCCACCACCTACAACTTCACGTGTACCCGCAAAGCGCAAGGCAAACGGAGAAGCAAAATCTACACCAAAACCTAAACCATTTACAAAGGATCAAGAAAGGGATATTGTTATTTTGATGTCAAAGCTAGATAGAGAACCGGAAGACGGCGATGTGGAATTTGCAGAAGAGAAGAAACTGTATAAAACGCGATCGCTCAAACGAAAGATCGAAGTCGAGAATCTCGAAATCGTCAAAACCAAGAAGCGTCGAACTGATTATTCCAACTTGATGACCAAGAAGATGGGGAAGCATGCTAAAGCGGGTGAAGAGCGCTATAGAGAGGTCGAAGGAGATGCAGCCATTTCCAAAGTCCAAGCCGATGAGATCCAAACAGAAAAGGAGCGTAAGAAAGATATGCAGAGGAAGCGTCGTCGTGAAAAGACTGTTCAGCATAACATGGAAGCAAAGGAACTTGCTTTGGCCAAGGCGAAAGAAGCACTGGATGATCAAGATAGAAACAAGTTCCTCCGGGATGCCCAGAGAGCGGAAAAGAAGGCACAACAAACTAAATTGGTACTTGCTAGAGGAGACAAGGGTCCCGAGATTCGAGCAGTCTCGCCTATGGAACCTAACATGCAAGGTGGTAGTATGTCGACATTTACAGCTGTGGATCCCGATTCAACCAAGAAGCCAAAACGCGGTGGTGCTCGACCTAGAAAGTCCAAGGAACAGAAGCAGGCAGAGAAGGATTCGGCAGCAGCAGCTCAAGAGGCAATCGATAAAGGGGAATCACCAGCACTCATGCCAATCAGGGATGCAACAGAGTTCAAAGACATGAAGCCACTTCCATCGAAAGAAGGTGGTACAAAGATCAAGCTCAAGTTAAAGGCACCAGCAGAGCCAGTGGAAGTCAAGGAAGAATCTCCTCCTGTTCCTGTCGATCAACACAATACGAAAATGTTCCACGTTGTCTATGATCAAATCTGGAAGGATCTCGCGCGAAAAGAGGTTCCCAAAGTTTTCAAATTGGCTATGGATTCCTACTCTATTCGAGGATCGAATTTGAAGAAGACTGCCATCCTAGCCTCCAAGGAAGCCAAACGATGGCAACTACGAACGAACAAGGGTACCAAGGACCTTCAAGCTCGTGCTAAACGTGTCATGAGAGAGATGATGTCTTTCTGGAAGCGTAACGAACGTGAAGAACGTGATACTCGAAGAGCCGCCGAGAAACAGGAGATTGAAAATGCCAAGAAAGCCGAAGCTGATCGTGAAGCAAATAGGCAAAAGAGGAAGCTCAACTTCCTTATTTCACAGACTGAACTTTACTCTCATTTCATCGGCAAGAAAATCAAGACGGACGAAGTTGAGCGATCTACCGATCACCCTGATGTTGCGGCTCCGGCTGAGCCCAATCATTCGAGATCCGATCCCATGGACTTACCTGAAGGTTCTGCTCCTGCAAAGGTTACGAACTTTGAAGATCTTGACTTTGATGCTGAGGATGAATCTGTATTGAAAG